ATTGTTATTATGTGACTTATTTGAATTAAATTGAATTAATTGTTATTCTGTGACTTATTTGAATTAAATTGAATAAATTGATTAATTAGGGTTTTGTTTTATTTTTCTTCACGTATTAGCCGACTTTGTTCTCCATCTCATATTACACTTAGGCTTAGGTTTAAGGGTGGCCTATAAATATAAGTATTAAGTTTTTCTTAGGGTTTTAGAATCCTTTTCACGACTGTGGAGGCAGAGAGAGAATAGAGGAGGGTTGCAGTAGTTGGATTTCGCCGGAGAATTTAGGAAGACGACAGTCTGAGACCTAAAGGCAAGTTCTATTCTTAACTCTCTCCATTTGACTAGCGTTCTTTACATGTCTAACTCAATTCCAGGAACAGATAAAGATCTAAAATCAATCTGGTTCGCATGCTTGTACTATTTTAATCAACATGTGTTCATGAACTGTTAATTGTTTGTGTTACATTCTTTTTACATAATTCATGATTTAAGTGATGTCAGTTGATGGATAAAGAATCTTGTTAGTTCTGAAACACATTGGGAAACCTTAAAATTAATCTGGTTTGCAAGTTAGATTTGATTAAATCTGTATGTGTTCATGAATCCGTATTTGCTTGTTTAATTCTTCTGCGTGTTTCTTGTTCTAATTGAAGTTGATTAATGATTAATGATTTTCAAAATCTCTGGAACACACTGGGACTTAGTATTAACTAGTAGGAACATTAACCATGGAGGACAGAAGGAATGGAAGTCGCCGGAGGTGAAACGGGTGAAGGAAACAAGCAGTAGGGGCTTCTGTGAGTTGAGGCGGCTCCCCACAAGGGTGGAGCCTGCTCCAAGGCTGGTAGAGGTGGCTCCACATGGTGTGGAGGTGGCTCCACACAAGGGGGAGGCGGCTCCCCATGTGGGGGAGGCGGCTTCACCCTCTTTTGAGGCAGTTTTGGTGTATTTTCGCTTCTGAGTTTGTTTTTTTTACTATTCTAGGGTAATCAGAGGCTGTGCCTGGGAAGTTTGATAGTATCTAAGGTCTTGTTAAAGTTCCAGAGAGCAGGATAAGGGATAATGAACCACCTAGGGTTTTTACCTTGAGCAGTATAAAATTCTTACATAATTTTGGTACACTGTTTTGGAGGTGGAGGATTTAAATTGCTTAAACTTATCTGTTGCAATTTTTCTGTGAATGGATTTATAGTTTAATTCATGTTCCAGTGGTAAAATATAAGCATGATAGATTACAGAATTATTATATGCTTATAAAGGATAATTTGACGTATACATGTGTTAAATGTAGTATCAATTCTTGGATAATTGTGTAGCGGTATAAAGTAAGCATGTTCAAATATATATTTTGATTATGCTTATCACGGATTAAAGGATGTTTATACTTATTCTCTGTGTTGTAAATTATGAGAGAATTATGTAACAGTGGTATAAGACAAGCATGTTAGTTTACAAAATACTATTATGCCTTGTATGGAATTAATTGATGTAAACATTTATTTATGTTCTGTCAATTATATGGATTCTGTGGATTAGTTGGTATTTACATTCATTATCTGTATTATCAACTACTGGATGGATGGATTGTATGCACCGGTATGGGACGGTGGCATACTAGGGACGGATTAGTTTCAAAATACTACATCCTACCTATACGGAATAAGGGAATGGATTATAAAATAAATCCTACTTATATTTAAGTCAGATCAGCTGAAACAAAGTTGAGTGACTAACTGGATTAGTTGCTATGGATGTGTTAGTCAGTGCAGCTGAACAAGCTGAACGGCTTACTGGATTTCCTATGGATGGATAGGATAGGACTTTAAATATATTTTTATGGTACTGCGATATGAGCTTGAGTCTCAGAGTCGACGGTTACGGAGCGTATATGCAATAGGATGCGTAGCTGGCTATGTTGGTTGAGGTATACCCTGTTAGGCTTAGGTAGTCATGCTTACTCAAGTGCGTTTTGCATGTTGCCTTCTACTCAGGTTGAGACCCTTATCATAGTTCAGTGAGAGTACCATTGTGTGGATATATATATATTTACGAACTACATAGTTATTGTTGAGTTGGTTAGGATGTACATACGTATCGAGTCTCTGTTCAGATTGTAGTAGGATAAAACTTGTTCGTGGGCCTGACCCACTTCTATTTTTCAGGTGTTCGACAGTTCCAGTCGTAGGCTTGATCGTGCTGAGCAGAGACCATCACTCACTATTCCGACGACGTAGGACTTCTCTCCATGGTTTACTTTAGATGTTCTTTTAGTAGTTTCATTTCAGTTTGGTTCTTATTAGGGGTCTACTAGAGATGGATTCCCGAGTTGTTTAAACTATTGGAGTTTTGAATTTTGAGTTATTAATTTTAAGGGATTCTATTTTAGATTTCTTCTAGCTGTTAATTATTTCATATTCAGTTTTGTAATCTGTGTTCATTTAAAATACTTTAATTGTTTGATATTCCCCCGGGGTTCGGGCTTGGGCTTGATCAACCCGTGTCTCAGATCCGAGGGGTATCACAGGTAATGAATTAATGAATTAATAAATGACCGTTTTGCCTAGGGGTGTTAAAAAAATCCGGAAAACCGAAAACCGGACCGGACCGAACAGAATTGGGCGGTTTGGGCTAGTTGTATAGCGGTTTGGTCCGGTCTTGGGCCCAAAATTATGGAACCGTAATTTTTTGGTCCGGTCCTGGTTTAGGGTCCTGTTGGACCAGACCAGCCCGGACCGAACCGTTGCTATGTTGTATAATATATATATATATATATGTATATGTATGTATGTATATATATGTATATGTATGTATGTATATATATGTATATGTATATCATACCCTAAACTAGTGGAACCGTTATAAATGGTTTGGTCCCAAAAAACTCTTAATCCGGTCCAAACCGGACCGTGTGCACCCCTAGTTTTGCCCCTAGTATGTCCTCAGGTCCGAGCGAAGAACCCAAATCGTATCACAGCCCGCTAGTGAATCGGGTCTTCTGGAGTAAGGGCGTTGCATTATTATAATGTGTCATTAAAGACCTAAATACTGTTTATTGACCGCAATTTTTTTATAGCTTTACTGATAAAATCGTTTTATTTTATTTTATTTCAACAGCAACCCCAAATGGGCTCTAAGTAATGAATTGGATTATCAAACTAACACCTTATTAGTGGTGTGAAAGAGTTGATTATATATGTATATATACATATACAACTATAACACGAATGGTAATAGACAATTATGGTAAAAAATGTGGTAGCATTTATATATTACAAATATGCATAAGTATATAATTCATTGTATTTCTTTTACTCATAAAAGAAATAGAATTTCCATTTTTTATCACCATTATTCAAATATAATTTTTTGAAAAACAAGCATAAGTACAAAGTTATTTAATTCACTGTAAAATTTTATAAAATACCTATATATATATATATATATATATATATATATATATATATGACACTGGTTATGAATCATGAAATATAAAAATAATAGCTTTCTTACTAACTAGGAAAATGGAATTTTTAGGTTAATTACCAATTATTTTCCTATAGTTGCACACTATTTAAATTTTTTTTCTTTCTTATAATGCAATATTGATCAAAGACAATGTAAACTTTTTTTTTCAAAAAAATTATGTAATTTAAATATATTGCATAATATATAATACAGAAAATATATAATACGTGTAGTAGATAATTCAACTAAAAAATACGAATACACGTAGTTTTTATTTGTAAGAACATATGTGTATTATAAGAGTATAATACATGATTTTGTTAACTATCAAACGTCTATCATTTACTTGGAAAATATTCATTTTGTATGCTTGAAAGATCATTATAGTTGGGTGGTATTTTGATCAACAAGGATAAACTTTGAACAAATCAATGACCCAATTTTTAATTATACGAGTTTAAAACAAAACAAAATTTTAATTTATCCCTCCTAAAGTCTAAATCAAATGTAAAAATAATGTTTCCACCTACAAACCAAATATATGAATACATCAAAAAATAATAATATAATATTTAATTATATATAAAAATAATATTTTATTTTTCATTTTATCCATAAAATCATGGATAAAATCATTAATTTGGAACTTATAGTAAGATGATTGTTAATCTTGTTTTCTTAAGTTTTATATCATTTTTAATTAACCCATAACACATTTTAAATTGTATTGAATCTCATTTTTTTAAAATATAATTATTACAAAACCACTACATCGTGTCTTTAAAGTGTCCAAAAACATGTAATTGCCACGATATCTTAAGAGAAGTATCTATGTTTCCTAGTTTCCTGCATATAATTTCGAAAAAACTCTAACCTGGATACTTCATTTGCTAAAATTCAAAGGTAAAAATTCAATTGAAGTTTAGGCTTAGTAGAGCACGGTATACTTAACGAAAATATTATTACTTATTTTTCCATAGCATTAGGAAATGTGAGGTATAAAAATGTATTAAGGTAAATGAAATTAAATGAACAAAATCTGTCTTGAACTTGGGGAAAAAAATATATATATTATAAGAGTAAATGAAATTAAAAAACGCTCTAGGTAAATGACATGTCTTAGCTAACAAAATTATTTAATAAGATAAGTAAACGGATAATTATTGGTCCAAACAATACTTTACTACTAAGATGCAAGAAAAAAATGGTTATCTATATTAAGAAAGAAGAGTTTCCTTACACTTCAACAATCACCCTCCATTCTCTCTCTCTTTCTATTTATAGAAGTCTATAGTTGCCCTAAAATTCCACCAATTCCTAGAATGATTCGCCTATGAAGTTGTTGGAATCTTTTCCTGAACGGGTGGGCTGGGCCGGATTTGGCCCAGTGGGATTTTTTTGTCCCTTCATCTACCCATTTATGAAAAGAAGAGGGGACATACAAAGTTGTACTATATTATGGTATTAAATTCATAAATCATACTATTGAACAAGCGGTAAGACTAAAATAACTAAATAAAGCATTTAACACACACCTTATATTAATTCAAATTACTTCACAGCACCAAAGGAATTAAGTGACTGAAATTGTGACAAATTTTTTATCTGCCAACATACATAATTACTTTATTAGCATGAAATTAATAAATCATAATATTAACATTATATGACACATACACACACATATATATACACGTGTATATTGTGAGGGAAATATATTGTAACACATGAACAGTAATTTCTTAATAGAAATTTTTAAATACACACCTTATTTCAATTCAAATAACTTCACAGAATCAAAGGAATTGAGTCGCTAGAATTGTCACAAATTTTTTATCTGGTAACATACATAATTACTTGATTAGCATTAAATTAATAAATCATACTATTAAATAGTAGTGGTAAAAGCAAAAAAAAAAAAAAATTATGAGCATAATATATATATTATATAATATATATATGTGTGTGTGTGTGTGTGTATGTGTGTGTGTGTGTGTGTATGTGTGTGTGTGTATTGTAAGGGAAAGATATTGTAACACATGAACAGTAATATCTTAATAGAAAATTTCAAATTCATACCTTATTTCAATGCAAATAACTTCAATGCACCAAAGGAATTGAGTAGCTGGAATTGCGACAAATTTTTTATCTGCCAACATATATAATTACCTGATCAGTATTAAATTAATAAATAAATCGTACTATTGAACACTAGTGCTAAAAGAAAAAAACAACAATAAATCGTACTATTTAACATTGTTTATATATATATATATATATATATATATATAATGTGTATGTATGTAGTGTAACAGAAAGATATTGTGACACATATAAATTACTTGATTGAATCAAATGATCATTCTAAAGGATAAAAGTATACACAAGGAAATTGCATGCACACATTACATTGCTTACCTAAATGTTGCCCTGGTGGACAGCTTTATGGAAATATGGATTGAAGCGTTAAAATTATGATTTATATGATGGAAGAAAGATGCAAACCGGAGTTCAAGAGTAATATACTTTCTTGCATACACAAACTTACGTATATATATATCTATTGATTTAGAGAGAGAGACTAAAGAAAGGAATAATTCATGAGTTGCATCTTCTTTTCTTGGGATTTTTTGTACTTCACAAGGAAGCAATATATCAAAAGATGCAAGTGGTCTCATGTGTTTTATATATCAAAAGATGCTTTTCTTGGCCTGTGAACACTGATGAAAAAGATGAATTAACTATGAAACATTAAAATATCAATTCTGATTTCTTCTGCATTTTCACCAAAAGCTATGGTCACATATAAAGTCTTTTAGGGTCAAATGTGATATTGTATTTGCTGATTATAAACCCTTGTAATTAAATGTAAAGCACGGGGTATATAGATTTAGGTTGCTATGGAGGTCTAGTACGAGAAAGTCTAGAATACAGGTACAACAAGGCATTTTTTGATCATGTATTTGGTGAACCTCACCACCACATTCAATGATTGAGATTTTGGTTGCTATGGATGTCTAGTACGAAAAAGTCTACAATACAGGTGCCACGGGGCCTTTCAGTCATTGAATCATCTATCAAGTGAACTCCAGCACCACATTCAATGATGGAGAGCTTTGAGGGTATAATACCCCCAAGGTATTGTAAAATTTTCCATCTAGTACACCACCTTTTGCAAATGATTATCTTTATCAACTCAACTTGGCACACATTCATCATCTTCTTCCTTTTTCTTTTTTTTTTTCTTTTTTTTTTTTTTCATGGCACAAATTCATCATCTTACTAAACATATACGTTGGATGCCAAAGATTATACCAAACACCAAAAGAACTCCCAATTTAAAAATCTTTGTGCCTGCCAAAGATTTTTATTTGGATTTCGCTTTTCCTAAAATTATGTCATTCTTTAAAAGTCTAAACTTCTATCTCAACTGACAATCTCCTTAATTTTTATTTGGATTTCGCTTATAAAGCATAATTGATACATGTTCAAAACATTGCATAGACACACCTACTTCTATATATTTTTGATAGATGGAGAGACTAATGACTACTTTTATATATATATATATATATATATTGATAGAGCGAGAGACTAATGAAAGTTATAACTCATTAGTAGCATCTACTTTTTGCCAAGGAAAGCAAGGAAGCAATACAAGTGGGGCTGGAAAGTTGTCTCATGGTTTGCTTTTCTTGGCCTGTATTTCGGAAGAAAAGCAAGGAAGGAATAATAGGTGACGGCATGGGGAGTTGTCTCATGGTTTATATTATGTATTTCAATATAGGAAAGATGCTTTTCTTATCTTCGACTATCCATCAAACACATACCTCGTAAGAGACAGATGCATTTCGGAGATCACTGTTCCTGGTCAATGCCAATGGAACTGGAAGAAACTACTTCAGCTTCGACCAACCATCAGAAATTGGTAATGGACTACTTTCCAATTTTTGGTTTGACAATTGTTGCTCACTTGGTCCATTCTCTTCACTGTCCCCACCTTCCATTCCCAAACACAATTTGATTTTGTGGATGGCATGTCACGCTCGATTATCTACTTTGGACGGCAAGCCTATGGCTCATAGAAGTCCACTCAACCTCTGTAAGCTATGTGCGAGCTTACCTGAACCTCATGACCACCTTTTCTTTCAATGCTCTTATGTTAGCCCTTTGGGTCATTTATACAAACACGTTGTGCCTTCTACACTCTTCCCTCCTAGAGGATGGCAATGGTAAATTGGGGAAGATCAAACAAACGAATTACAGGGCTGTTGTCTCTAAATTGTGCTTCGCGACGGTTGTTTATCATATATGGTTTGATAGGAATCGAAGGGCAATGAAGGGCAAATCAAGACTGGGTCTTCTGGACCATCCCATTAACGGGCTACAAGGCTACTTCTATCACTCTGACACTGCAAGACTAAAACTGATGTCATGTTCCTATCACTCTGCTACAGCTAGGCACATCCATCTCGGAATGGGAATTGCCGGCTTCCCGTTCTTCGATCTCCACCTAAGCCTCCGGATTGATAGCTGTGCAGGGGATGCCCTGTTCGTTGTTCTGAGAGATCTTTCTGATTTATATGGCCAACGGTCATGTTTTTAAATTTGGGGCTGGGCTTTTAGCTGGGTTGGGCTATAAGCCCTGTTGTCTTTGACTGGGTATTCTGGAGCATCCCATTAATGGGCTTTGTACTTATTACTCTTATTACACATTTGAAAAATGCTTTTCTTGGCCTGAGAACAACCATGCAAAAGATGAATATGGAACATTAATTTTCCGAAGTTATATTTTAAAACTACAGCAATCATATGAAACAAGAAAATTATATGTACCTCCAAGATATATGGTTTAATGGTATTTTTCCACTCCTTCCAAAATAAAAAAACATTTTGAGTTCAAAATTTTCCCAAGAGTATTATGTGAATTATTTGGTAGGAAATAAGAGAGAGAAAAAAAAAAAAAAAAAAATTTGTTATAACAGTATTTGTTGCATTGACTTCAATCAAAGCCTTGTTAGGCTCAGCAACACCTACAATTGAAGCATATTCTGATTCAACACCATCCGTGCCTCATTCAACTGTTCCATTGATTCCCATCTTCTGTAATGCTGTCAGAAGACTGCAAGTAGAAAATAACAGTGCTGGCTTATTTCCAGGCATGACACACTTTTATTTTTCCTAATTTTTGGAGGAGAAAATTATGAAATTTGGAATGTAAAAGTGAGGACCAGCTGATGAAAGCCAATTCTCGGATGACGAACAACAAACTCCGATTTCTTTTGATGTTTCTTGTTTCGTCAAAATTGCATGTTGCTTGCAAAATTTTTAAAGCTTGAAGCACTAGCAAGATTACTAGTGGTTATATAATTAAACCTACACAAATATTGTTCAAGAACAAAACCAGAGTAGCTTCATTCACAAATATGCAACCAATCCTGAGGGAAATGCTATTCAAACTGATACATACAGATGGCATCAGAAATGAGGGAGGCTAAATTCTCATCCGAAGTGCTAATATCGATACTCATTGCATTGACTTTCAACAAAGCCTTATCAGGGTAATGAGTGAATGAGAACTGATTTGCACTTAAAGTGCCAAAATACACTATATTGGTCAATAAGGGTAGTTCAAAGAATAAATTAGAAACCTCATTAACAATTAAAGAGTTTTGAAACCCATACCTTGTCCAAGAAAATGAGCAGGAAGGTCCAAGTTGACAAAATACTATGCCTCTCGCCAAAAAGTTCAAGGCCTAATGGCATCTTGTCTTTTCACTCAAATCGATGTGTAATAGGAAAATAAATTTACAATGCAATATATGAAAACAATAGCAAGCTTTAATAGTTGATAACACTTCACAATTTTCATAATAACAGCAGTTACAAACTCTGTTTACACAGATTTTGTCAAAGAATACAATACAGATACTAATAACTAAACATAGAAGTCTTTAGCAACTGGTCTGCTCATCGATTACATGAAATGATATAAATGGAATGATCTCAAACCAAACAATCTTAAGACAATATATACAAATGTAAGTTATTAAGCAAATAAGTATCCGTCACTTCCGATCAATTACATAACCAACACAGAGATTTGCGAAATTGTTAGTTGCTCGAGCAGAACAACTCCACACCTTCCATGACATTCTCGAAGAAAAAAACTGATATAAAATCATATCATTTCCTTGAAGAGGCCGGTAACCAAATTCCACAACAGTGAGCAAAGACGGAGAGCTGGAAAGACATTTGAGAGCTAAGCCCCACATTAAATGGTCTGTATCAGCTGCACAAAGAAGCATCATTCATTACATACGACTAAGAATATATAAATAGTTGAATTATAACCTCTCCAGTAACTTACGAGTTTGGAACACCATATGAATCACAGCTGTGATACAAAACACAATTTTATATTAAAGATTGCGCATTTAATATTCTAGATAAAACACCTAAATCTTAAAAAAGAACAGTTAACAACGCACCACTTACCATCAAATCCTGTTGATCTATTTTGGTCACAAAATATTGCTAAAGTAGATGCAGTAACTTGAAGACGAATTTGAAGTAATGTAAATTTATGAGACTTTGAAGCGTACCCTAATGTCTGCCCTTACCATCTGAATTTTGACAAAACTCCTCAGCATACAAAAAAAGTCTCTACACTTCTGGCGTTAACAATATTGAAAAACATTCCTGAACACTATTAAATTGTTTGTAATTTGACTGAAAAAAAATTGAGAGAGCGAGCATTCAAAAATGAAAAACTTAATGCAAAATTTGGAACAAACACTCCTATTTTAGAATGCCAATTGGCTACATGACTAGTTTTCAAATATACGAGCATGTCAGTACTATTTATTAATTTTAAGAAAGTTTTTTAAGCTTTTCATGTGATATTAGTTTTAATTCCTTACATTACAATCTACTCGATCAACACTGCGAATTTAGAAATCCCAGGTAGTTTTGAACCAATTCTATGGCAACAAAGTTTTAGCATATTCATTACAAAGAAAAGAAAATTGTTTAAGCAATTAAAACGAATAAGAAAAGGCAGTTATATGAGGTGGCCGGAAGTATAGTTATTTGTAGATTAGAAGAAAAAAATTCTAAGTTGTGTAGTATTGTTACCTGCATGCAGGGACTACAACTTCATTAAAGGGTGCAAATATTAAACAGAATTGCAGTGTCGTATTGTTACCTGTAAGGAATACAACGTCATTGGGAGGAATTGACGTCCACAAAATGATTGATCATTGGTATATTTGGAAGAGCGGGGCGAATCGTGATTTAGTGGCATCATCTTTCCATTTTAATGCTTCCCACCATTTCAGTTCTCCTTTAATCTTTCTCAAATGAGGTGCACCGTCGATGCCAAAAGGAAATATTTCCAGTTTTGGACATTTGTAAAAAGTAACCTCCTCTAAGGAGGGGCAATGCAAGTACAGATGGTTCCTCTTCCTCTTGGAGAAGCCAACCAATTCTCGTAAATGATGAAGAGCCAAAAGCTTCAGTTTGGGTAGGTTCACGTGTTCAAGCCTCTTGTTGTCTTCCTCCCTCTCATCGAAATCAGCTGAAATTATCTCCTCCATTTCCGAACAAAACCAAATTTTCAACGATTCCAAATTAAGGAGTTGCGGAATCAATCCCCATGAGAACACCTTCTTCATAAATTCGCATCGAAGTATTTGCAAGTCCTTCAGTTTAGTGAAGCTATTGGTGCTGCTGCTTAATTGCATTGGTAATTTGTCGCAGCCGATGCCCCTAAAATGATGTAAGGTAATCAATCGAAGGTATTCTAAGTTTTCAAAAACATCCCCTCGCAATCCATCTTCATCTATCATATATTCATGTTTACCAGAATAGACGGATAAACCTTTTAACCCATTAACTCTTTCCGCGCCCAATTCTGATAGTATTTGAAGGGTTTCACAACCGCTTAGGTAAAAACACTCCGAACGTATGAGTACCTCTTTTATTTCTTCACAAGTTACTCCTCCTCCATCATCCTCATACTCTGGCACAAATGATAATGACCTCTCAAATAATTTGGTAATACTCTGGGTCAAATGATAAGGACCCTTCAATTTTCCAACATAGAGGTGGAATTTCTGTATGGTACTATCTCTCCATGGTTGGCTGTTATGGAGAAAGTGTTTCAGACAATTCCTTGTTGTGAAGTGGAATTTAAGTGAAGAGAGCCGTGTCAAGCTGCTAACCCCTTTTGCAAAAGTTTCCAAACTTTCTTCATCATCCCCTTTCATCCTTTTAATACTCAATTCTTGAAGCAGGGAAAGTCTGGATATGGTCACACTACAAGGAACCATCTCATCTTTGGGGACTGTCAAAGTTAGAGGTGAAAATTTCAAACTTTTAAGGCTGGTCAACTTCCACATCTCACTAGGGTGATACGGCATTTTGTTCGCCCTGCTGACATGGAGCACCTCAAGTCTCTGGAGCACACCTACTTCCTGAGGGAGAGCCTGTAAATACTCGCATCCTTTCAGAAGCAATACTCGAAGGTTGACCAAATTTGAGATGGAAGATGGCAATGAGGAGATGCCACTTCTTGATAGATCCAAAAGTCGAAGGTTGACCAAATTTGATATGGAAGATGGCAATGAGGAGATGCCATTTCTTGATAGATCCAAAAGTCGAAGGTTGGGCATGTGATTGAAGAAACATTCAGGTATTGCCTTCAGAGGAGAGAGATCATATTGACGTCGCCGAAGCAGCAATGTTGACAGCTTGGGACATTTTGGCTTCTCTGGTAATTTGTATCCCTCGGCATCCATAAATGAAATCCTACTTGCTTCTTCCCATTCCTTATCATCAGGTATTTCCTGCAGAAGTCCAGCTCTCACCATGAACCGGCTCTCCTCTTCTCCTGCAGAAGTCATCATCAGAACTAAATCTCGAACCACATCATGCATCTTTACATGTTTTTCATCCTCACACTTCTCCAACAGAGATGCACCAATAAGGTCATGTAATTTCGCACACCCATCATCATAAGCATCTTCCAAAGTCCCTTTACTCCAAAGAAACCCCTCCGCTCCCCAATAAGTGATCAGCCGAGATTTTTTAATCTTTGCATCTTCTGGATACAAGCCACAATACAGAAAACAATTCTTGATGCTGTCATCCTTCAACACGTCGTAACTGACCTTCAATGACCTGAACACATCTTCATTCATATCTTCAATGTAAGACATAGCTGGTGAATTCAACTTGTTCAAAAAATTACGCCACATGCTTACATCTTCAACCATTCTCAGCACCCCACCTGCTACTTTTAGTGCAAGTGGTAAGCCACCACACTTTCTGACGATTTTTTCAGCAATCGGCTTGATGGTTGGGAGCAATGAGATTCCTCCCGCTTTTGAGTTAAACAATTCCCATGCTTCACTTTCGTCTAAAACTTCCACTTTGATATCTTTATCGGTAATCATTTTTCGACAAACTCGAATATCTCTGGTTGTCAGAACAATTTTGCAACCCTTCTCTTGACTTGTACTTGGTATACCCACTCTACTCAAATCCACTTCTTCCCAAACATCATCCAGAAGCAACAAATATTTCTTGCCCTTGAGTTTCTCAAACAACATTATTGAAACTCTATAATCTGGTTTATCCTTTACATCCGGTAATGACAAGCGCAGTGCAACTTCATCTTGAATCTTCCTAATGCTCCAAGATTTTGAGACGGTTACCCATATTACAATATGAAACATAGTTTGAATTTCAGGCTCATTATTCAAGACATTCATTAAGGTTGTCTTTCCCACCCCACCCATGCCCCAAATTCCAATCTTTTGGACACCCTCGTCTCTTATGGAATCTCGTATCTTTTGCAAGGTGAGATTAGTTGAATTCCCCATTATCAAAGCATTTGGTGGCAAATCAATGACAAAACCATCTTCAAACCTGGATTCCTCTTGGAGCTCTTTAACCTGCTCGATCATTTCCACCACATGCTTACCGAGCTTCACACGAGAAATGACATCTGGAAACCATCCATTAAAGCATCTTTTGCCAATGAGCTGCTCATCTTCTTTCGTCTTCTTATCAATCTCATCCACCCTTTCAAGCCAGCCATTGCATTCTCTTGTAGGACCCTTTTGTAGATTAACAAGGTCAATCTTATATATAATGTCATCCCTCCTGTCGCATAATTTTTTTACTCTCCCGCTCAGCTCAGTGAAATTCTTTGACAGGTTTATCGCATAATCCACACGTCTACAAATGGGTGTGCACATGTTTTTCACAATATCGTACAAAGGTTGAATCAACTCCATTGCCTCTGCGTGAATTTTGAATGCAACATAAGTAGCATATATATATATATATATATATATATATATATATATGAAGTTGGATATGAAAATTTTGAAAAGTCTATTGCAATGGTTTGCAAGTGTAAGCTATAACCTATCTGCTGACGAATTGATTTTATTGCAATTATGTAAGTTCTTAGTTTTTGTTTATTTGATATTGCACTTGAATGGTTTAATTTCTTAATTCTGCGTTTATGCATTTATTTTTCACATCATGGGCCCCGGAGTGAAATGACATGATGATATAATGGGTTATATCTGAACTTATTAGGGCCTATTTGTAACTATTTTATGGCCTAAATTTTTTTACGCTCTAATAAATAGTAACACATAGCAAAACTCAATAAAAATTTCTTTCAAATATTTAGGGTTTATTACATTATTTTTTTTGTGAAAAATAGTTTTATTATGTCTGATGTGTTGGCATTCAAATTCTAAAATTTGTCCCCACTCACTTTATGAAAACTATGAATATGTAGATGTCGAAAGACAAAGGCTTAATACCTTAATTTAGGAGTTGATCGAACACTAGACATGTGAGTTGTGTCCCAAAATTTGATGTGAGATTGTACACTTGTAGTTCGTTTAGAGCCCGTTTACTAACGCTTTCATTTTCTTACTTTTACTTTCTTCAAAAGTAAAATAATGATTTTACTTTATTTAGATGAAATAGAAAGTAAAATAATGTTTAATAAGCAGATTTTATTTTTTATATTTTGAAAGTAAAAAACAAAAAGTAAGTTTAACAATTTTGATTTTGATTTTACTTTCTTGTTATCTTCCTCTCTCTAATTTTTTTTTTTTTTTTTTTTTTTTTTTTTTTTTTTTTTTTTTTTTTTTTATCTGGGTTTGATGTAATAGCTGCTCACTGCACTAGTCTAGGTCTATCTAGGTCCATGGACTTTTCCCATTTTCTTGGGGAGGCACCAAGTCATTTATTGCAAACAAGTTTCTCTACAACAGTGAATAAGATGGGGCTATTCAATTGTACAAGGAGCCGAATTCATTTTCCTTCTCTTCCTCTGCCACATCCCTTCGAGTCAGGGGGATCCATTTCAGGTTTTTAAGAAATCCATTGATTATACATATATTCACTACCGCTTGCTAAGCCCTAGCTAAACAACAAGAAATCAAAGTCCTATGAGTAGTGTGTGTGTGTATAAAAGAGAAGGAGTGAGTTTCATACATGGCACAGGGATGGGCGGCGGCGGGGAGGAGGCGGATGGACAATGGGAGGATTTTGGGATTTTTTTTTTTTTTTTGGATAAATAGTGCTACAGTAATACTACTACAGTAAGGAAAACAATTCCTATGTACACTAGAGAAATCACAGTAAGCATCATTTTCTCACTTTCTCTTTCCTTCATTAAATTTGAAAGTACTTTCTAAAAGTGAAAAAGTAAAAGTATATTAATAAACATAATTTTTACTTTTACTTCACATTTTTAGAAATTAACAGTTAAAAACACAAAGTAAAAGCGTTAGTAAACGGGCCCTTAGTGTAATAGTTTGTCAATATCTCTTGCACCACTCGCGAGACACCCACCCACAAGGTCACCACAATCACCCACCATCCTCCTTAGAGGTCCAACGTCCCTGTTGGCCACACTTCCAGCTGGGTCAAGCTCGGACTCAAAGCGTACAATATCATACCATGTGGTGGAGTTGATCGTTACAAATGTATCAGAGTTTGACCCAGTCAGAGGTATAGCTAACGGGGACGTTGGGCCCTTAAGGGGGTGATTGTGGTGACCTTGTGGATTGGTGTGTCGCGAGTGGGTGTAAGAGGCACTGGCAGACTACTATTCTGCGTGAGCTATAGGTGCATAATTTCAAATTGCTTGGGCATGGAAAGGAGAAGTGATATATATGCAGGATTTGGTACAAGGCCTTTTGGAGTAAAGCCTAAGAACCTAATCGTGCAGGCTCGGGCCTAATGCAGACAATATTATATACCATGTGGTGGAGTGGGTCATTATAAATGGTATCAGGGCCTGACCTAATCAGAAGGGTGGCCAACATGGACATTGGGCTCTTAAGGGGGTTGATTTTGGTGACCTAGTGGACGGGTGCAAAAGGCACCGATTGGCTACCACGAGCTACAGATGCACAATCTCACATTACTTGTGTATGGAAATGAAAAGTGTATATAGGATTGGTACGAGGCCTTTTAGGGTAAAACCCAAGAGAAAAATCATAAGAGCTCGGATACACAATGCGGACAATATCATACTATGTGGTGGGGTGAATCGTAACATAAAATATGTAGAATTTTTTTTTTTTCATAATGATATCTATCTCAGAGTTGTGGACTAAGAGCGTCACTGAAGCATGCCATTTAATGTCTTCTAGAATCCAAATTTAATAGAAGTTATGATTTGTGTATCTTGTGATCATCAAATTAAAATAGAGTTTAAGCATGATATATACATATATATATATATATATATTTCATGTTTAAGCATGATTGTTTGAGATCTTTGAATCTTAAATTGAATATAAATTATGATTTTATGAAGTTTAAAGAAAGTTAGGCGCTGTTTAGTAAAATTAAAAATTACGCGCCCTAAATTTTTTGGAGCTAAATTTCAAGTGCTGAAATTTTAAATTTTAGTTATAAATTTAAAACATTTTCTTATATTTTTTGAAATTTTAAGTGTTCAATGATAAGTAAACTCTTCATCACTAAATTTTTTTATCATATTTTAAGTAACACTTATTTTGTTAATGTTGGAAAAATATATGCTTAATGTGACTTTTAAGATATAACAACCCTTATACTAATATGTCATGAGATAATTAACAATATGCTAATAAATCATTAATTAAATATGCAACTCTATATTTAATTAAATATGCAAAATAAAGCAATAAAATAATAATAATATGCAATGAATGAACCTGAACCGAGGCTAGTATTGGATACTATGTCCTTAAGACAGATTCGCCCCGCTATGGTGCTAACGGACTCAGTGGCGTCTATCTCTCAGGATACAACGGTTTACATCCACCAGTAGCAGCACTACAAACTCGTGGATACGACGAACCTTCTCTGTGTAATACTCTCTCTGACTCAAAAATGCATCTATATACTATATAAATGCTGAATTGGGTGTAATCCGAACCAAATGGTTCGGACCAATCTTAATATGGCTCGATGAAATTGGATTAGGTTCGAAGTGGCTCGAACCACTTAACCTATGGTTTGAACCCACTTGGGTTGGGTTCTAGTCTAGAGAGGGAGATAGAAGAAAATGAAAAAATGAATTAATTGCAAATGATCCAAAGGGTGGTATTTATAGAAACAGAAATGCCTTTTCGAATGGAGTGCGTCTTTTCATCATTGGACACAACCATTGCAATAGGTTGCAATGGTTCACATGGTGTCTGTTCACCAATAGACACATCCATTCCAATAGGTTGCAATGTGCCTTGTCGAGTGGGTGCAACTATGGGTTATGATGGTTCGGAAAAAGGTGTAACCCTTTGGAGAAAACTAAAAGTGGTTTTTTAATTTAAAAGGTGTAACCCTTTAGAAAAAACTAAAATATGGTTTTTTAATTTAAAAGGTGTAACCTTTTAGAAAAACTAAAAAGTAGTTTTTTTTTAATTCAAAAAACCAACCACCCAAAAACCCCACTCATTTGTGAAACCCATTTAAATAAGCCCAGCCCAAAATTAGGCCCAATCCAAAATTCCAAAAAAGAATAATCTGGACTTTACAATTAGGCCCAAGCCCAAGCCCAAATCCTAAACTCAGCTTATTTAAATTTCAATTTGTTTCAACATTTTTTCCATGTGGGACAAACACTTCCCACATTTTGCATACCTATTTAGGCTTATCAAAACACTACACTTTGGAGCTAATTTCTCATTCATCCGGAAATAGATTTCAGAAAGTAAATATACCATGTTCATCTCCTTGCGGAGAGAAACGCGCTTGTCTAGAGATCCGTAAAAAATTATTAACGGAATCTATTTCAAATCTCATCCAAAGTTTATGTTTTTAATGCCCCCGTTTCCAACAGTTAAGTGGTATTAATTTTGGGTTATCAAACTCACTCAATCAAATATGTAATGAATTGGGTCATAACCCGTTTGGGATTGCTTCTTCACGGCTTAAAATCGCTTTTATTTTTAAAAATATTGTTTTTAGATGTGTTTGGTAACCATTAAAAGCGCTTTTAATAGTTACCAAATTTAGTTCAGTAGAGCTTTTGAATGAAGTTAGAATTTGGAGCTTTCAAAATTGTATTCAGAATTGAAGTTGAATATTTTAAGTAACTATTTTTTATTAGACAATTTTGTCCTTTTTATTTTTTATAAAGACAATTACATTGCTTTCTTGGTAAAGTTCTATTATCAAATATGATAACATCCTATTAAAGTATATTACAGTAAATTTAGCGATAGAAGTATTTTAAAATTATTATTACCAATTAATTAAAAAAATAATTTAATTGTGATAAGTACTTATTTGTATTGTCTCAAATTTTTCGAATTTTTTTGGCATTTTTATTTATTTTTATATTTATTATTTTCATGCATCGATTTGCATACCACCTGAGTTTCGAGGGTTGTTTAGGGCATTTCTTCGAATTTAGAATTCTTAGAAATGCATGACGAGTAGTTTCGTCATTTTTTAGTTTTCGGGCCCGTGAGGTCCCTTGTGGACCCAAAGCTCTCGAAATTTTTTTCGGTTTCATTAGTATTTCATTATTGGTTTATATATATATATATATATATATATATATATATATATATATATATATATATACCTAAAGGTATACTTATGGCATGGTTGTGGTTATATTATACATGGAAGGGCATTTTATTATTTTTAGTGCATGGGATGGGGACCACCATTTAATTAAATGGGATAGGGGTGCACAAAAAAACTGTGGAACTAAACGGAACCGAACCGAACTGGGGCTTCGGTTCCAGTTCTCACAGTTCTGGTCTCGG